CGGGATGCCCTTCACATCGGCATTCGCCTCCGACTCGACTCTGCATCGTGCTTCGGGGTGCGCGCGCACGCACAAGTTTACAAGAAATGCTGCGGCCTACTGGAGAGAGGAGTGCCTTTCTTTTTTCTTTCTCCCAAGACGATGCTCGAGCACATCCAGCTAAATGAAACGCTCTGGGCCTGGGAGGTTGTGCCCATTCCCCCGTACAGCCCGCGCTTGGCCTCCATCCGTTTGGCCCCATCCGAAGGAGCGCTTTGGTCGCGCAACGATTCCAAACAGATGGCGACGAGAAAATGGCTCGTTTCGTGGAAACGGTTCGAGCAAGGGGAAGGGGTCCGCTTCCCTGCGTGCTGCGCTGATCACTCGGGCGCTTGTGCACGGCTGGAGAGAAGTGCCGTGCCGTGGATGGTGGCTGCGTTGAGGAATGGGCAAGGTGCCGTGGTCCGGGGATCAAATTCCCTGAGCATAAAGTCTGGCAATTACTTAATTCTGTCCTTCCCCCACAGCCTTGGTTAGCACAATTGGCTACGCACGGTGCGAAAGAAGTTCAACATACATACATACAAGTGAGGAGGATATATATTGTATATATCAACAGGAATATTATACTGGGTGTCTGTAAAGGTGTTGCCCATTATTAAGAAATTATAGTTCGGAAGCAGTTTAAACTGTGCGGTGGAATAATTTGGGTTTTGTGAAGAAAGTTCAAGTGTTTGTCTTAAATAAAAAAATATAGTGGTATTCAACAGCACAAAACAGAAGTATATTCCAATCAATTTCGCCAGAGATTTTGGCAGAAACTGCAATATGACTTTCAGATCTCGATAATAAAGATATCGCCATTGCTGACATGTGGGGGTTTGGAGGGAAGAAACTCGTATGATAAAACCTTAATGCTACCACACACGTGTGTGTATACCATTACCAACCTAACTAAAACTAGCGGGGGGTGGCTGTGTAGCGGTTAGCGCACTGCGCTACGAACCTGGCTACCCGAGTTGAATTCCTGCTCATGGCCAATACCAGTGACAATTATCTGAACCGGTGCTGGGCCTCTATTCGGTCGAGTCAGCCTTAAATTAGTACCCAATGCGACATGTGAACATCGCCACTGGGGAGACAAAGGCAGCTGGGTGTGGTGCTGGCCACCCATCCCCTCGCGTGCCGTGCCGGCCTTCATAGGAGCTCGCTAACAGCACTTGCCCCAACAGTCTGTTCAGGCTATACGGGGGATCTTTGTCTTTTTTACATCATTGTGAAACTAACTAAAACTTCTATAATTAATGTTTTAATCATGGAGGATACGCTCATGGATACTCTGCACTAGGGGGTGACAATTTCCTATATATTTTTGGCCATTTTGGTGATTTGCATTATTTCATAAATTAACGTGTCCGTTCGCTATCAAAGGTGGCATCGCCGAATGATGAATCACGTCACCTTTGGCGAGAAAAGCGTGGGCGTTTTTCCTGTCATGTCATACTTTTGGGTCAATCCAAAACAGAGCATGTAAAATCTCATATCTAGATCTGATTTTTTAAACAAATAATTTGATCCATCTGAAAGTTGGTAGCACATCTCTCTGTGTATGCAATATTTATATTTACAAAACACAAGACGGTATATTAATGAATTCTTTAGGTGCTCGTGCTGGCATTTACCCCTGACCCACAATAATAAGGCCACCCGCTCCTGGACTGATTCACTACGGCATTCCTCTCAGTGTGACTTTGTGAACACTCCGTTGTGGTGAGTTGGCCACGGGGTAGTGGGTATTGATGGTCTGCTAACACGTCTGGGGGGTTTTCTCTCTCGCTAAAATAAAATACTTTTGTGAAAAAGTATTGCATTAACCATCAGGTGAATTTCACTGGATAATGTACAGTTAGGTAAACAACTCTGTTCTTGCAGCATAACCATTCAGTTAATGCCTCAGTGGGCTTTGCCTGGTAGGATGGGGATGGTCTAGTATGTGTGTTTTGGGTGATTTGTTTACAAATCTTGTTCTTTGCACGACTATCGCGTGTTTGTGTTGATTGTTGTTGTAACGTTCTTACCCGCCCCTACTGGACATCTGTGAAAAAGAGCTTTATTGATAATTAATTGATTCCTCCAGTATAACTAAATATTGTCATTCTGATGATGGCATCCAGCCAGACATAATGAATTTCTGTATATGTATTTCCCGTGCAATTAAAACGGGAGGATAAATATAATGACACCTGTAGTTGTTTTACCTACCCTATAACTTTGTGAATGCTCAATGGGTGTTAATTGTGTGAAAAGAAAAAATAGATTGCGGTGGTAGTAGGTGGCTGTTAATGAAAATGTATGCAGTTATCACTGCGAGTGTTGATCCAAATTATGATTCGCAAAAAGAGTCCCTTAAAAAAATGCCAACGGCATGTCCCCACAATTATTAACACAGTGGGGTTTCTGCTAAAAATATAGGCCTACTTCGTTTGAGTCTTAAGTTGCTCATTTAAAGCCGTCCTTACGTTAACCCAGTTTCTGAAAGTCATAAAAACGTGATAGGCACAATTGAGCATATTGGAGACTGGTGTTTGTATTCGGTGGAAAATTTGCGTTGAAAGACCGAACATTGGTCATTTTTGGTCACCTGGTAATTTGTCCGTTTAACACCGTTATTTAAATTGGAAAGTCCCTAAATCTGCTTGCTCTAAGAGTAACACATTTCATGAGTTCCATTGATGTTGGCGTAACGTTACAGTTTGAACACTGCTACCTCTGTCGCATATACACCTCATCTAAAGTGCATTGGTACAATATAATGTCCAGCCCTTGGTCAATCCACCGAGAGTAGAAGGCCTCCCACTGCTGTGTTGGCCACGGGAGTTGTTTGACCATACTTCACCACGCAGGTGGGTGCGGATTGGTGAAGGCGGTGCCCACGATCATCTCGGATATCACTCAACACTGACGCGTTAACTGTGACCGGGAATGCAACTCAGGTCACAGGCTTTCATCGCACAGTGATATAACCAGTGTGTGATCACCACACCCACCGTGTCGCATCTTCAATATAAAATAATGTACCCACAAAGGAAGTTACACGTTCAAGTTATGGTGTCTACTTTTCATTATCGAACTGAAACTCATCGCAGCAGGAGGTTCTGTCTTTCGTAGGAGCGGGGTGTTGTAATGCAACACATGTGCGTATGGCCAGAGGTGGTGTATGAGAATTGATATGGTGGTGTAACCTATCTTAAAATAACAAGGCAATGAAATCAAGCGTGGCGTCTGTAACGTTGACCAACGTGCCATTTTTTTTTCCTCTCAAGAATGTTAGCCCCAATAACGTTCGCTTCCGAAGTCGCCACATGATTGGATAACGTCACATGATGCGTGACATCACACGTGATGACACCATAGGGAAAGCGAGGCGATGTCACCACCGCCTTGGCCACAAGAACGCTTGTTCGTTTAGCGCTAGTTTATTTTCTATTCCAATTTCTATTTTGCCGACCACTTTGATCAATTTGTCCGGTTTTGACAAAGGCCACTCATTGAAAGCAAGGCAACTTTGTACTTAGATTTCGTTCATATTGGATGACCTTCTCAAGAGTTGCCATGACCTTCCCAAGAGTTGCCGTAAACCCGTGTGATAGATGAGAGCAGGGGCGGAGCCAGGATTTTCAGCCCGGGGTGACATTCAACAAATTTTAATTTCAAGAATGATTAGAGAGTCAGGCTGTTGAGCTAGACTCCATCGGTTGGCGACACGCTCTGACAGTGCAGTTGCACGGAGTCCGCCAGACCGAGTGTCGTACACTTATACGCAGAATGTTTCAGATTTTCGATTTTTTATATTTTTTTCGGGGGTGACAATTGTCTACCCTGTCACCCCCCTGGCTCCGCCCCTGGCTGAGGAGACAGATGGCTAGAACTAAACGCGTCAGTGTTTTCGAACTCGCGTGGAAAGTGTAACAAAAAAAGGGGGGGAAAAAACATTTCCATGAACACTTCCATGTACAGTGAATAAAAAAAATTCACAGTAGTCTGATGTTTCAGGTCATGACTTTCCTCCAGAGCAGAGAAAGGATGTAACGTGCAGTCTCCAACTCCTATCTGCTCTCTCCCTCTCTGGCCTTTCCATTTTTGTGCTATTAAGAAGTGCCATTGCTTCAAACATTGCCTTTTTTATATATGTTTCCACTTAAGGCCACAGTGTTATTTACTAATGTGTTGAGTTTTATTATTATTAGGTGCATTGTTTCAATGTCACCGACCTGTGCACGTATGTATGCAGCTTAACGCTTGTTTTATATCGTTCCCACGGCACGTTTTATATCGTTCCCACGGCACGTTTTAAGGAAACTGACATCACACGCGACCCATTTGCATGGGAATACAAGAGGCAGGGGAGCAATTTTATATTTTTTTATGCCATACCTCACTTTTAATAGCCTTAATAAATAAAGAAACAGCATTTCTTTGATACCCACACCATTTGTATGAGACAAGGTTAGGTAACAAAAGTACGATGGTTTTGCTTTGTAAGTTTTCAGGATTATTTCCGTCTTGAATCTACTGCAGCACCGGCTGACGGTGACGAATCACAGACAGTGACCTGGCAATGAGCTCAACGTCGATGGGATGAACAGCACAACGTGGGTGGCTAGGTGAGTGGGTAGGTGAGTGGGCTGGCGAGTGGGTGAGGTGGGCTGGCGAGTGGGTGAGGTGGGTAGGTGAAGTGGGTGAGGTGGGTGGGTGAGGTGGGTGGGTTGATCACGGTGACGTGCACAACGGGCTATCTTACTATTTTATTTTACCAGGTAAGGCCCACTGAACTGTATAGCTCTTTCTCAGAAGCGACCTGGCCACAAACGGTAGCTCAACGAAGTGGCTTATCGTGTGGAAATGTGTAGCAGCCAAATACTGTAAACGCACGTTTCTAAATGTGGGGTGAAAGACCAGAGGACCCGGAGAAAAATCCACGCCACCATGGGGAAAGAGGCACGCAGACTCCAAATATACAGATGTGTTGGGATCGAACCCACGACCTCCTGCATACCGGACGAGGTACTTAACATCTCGCCACCGTGAAGGGGACAGAGGTGAAGAAGCACTCGCAACGAGTGCCCTTCACTTGGCTGCTTGACACAGACCCTCAAATGGACCACTCACAGTTGCACGTCTCCTTCAACTTTAAAACAAAGAACAAACTTGTTTCTACACACCTGCTTATAACACGCACACCGTCCCATGTTTTGTAAAGAGAAGATGATTGCAGCGCATTGCATCAACGTGTGTCAAGGCACACGCCTTCCCATAGCCAACTGGGTGCAATTTAAAATGATGCAAGCCTCGGTTATAGTACGTGTGTGCGGCTTGTCTGACTGTTCCAGTTTGTGTGGTTTCGTGATTAGTGTGATACCCAGTGCACAACATTATGCTTGTTATTTTAATGACTTCAAAATCCAAAGGAAGCTGAGTTTTTTTTGGAGGGGTTTCATGAATTGATTAATTATACTGTTTGTTGAATTCACATTCCAGAGCAGCCTTAGGACCATGAAAGCTGTACCATGGACACATTGTAAGTCTTGTTTTTTCCCTGCAATTGAAAAATAATCAGAGGAGGTGGCTAGGAAGTTTTTGAGGGCTAGTTCCATTAGCTGCCACCTCTGAGACTTTGGATTCAGGTATCGTCCACCAGTGATGAAGCTACGTTCTCAAGTGTAGTGAGGTGATTGCCTAAGCGTGGTCACCAATGACAGCACAAAAATAAATCGTAGAAAAATGCATTCGTACGTACATTCGTTTTTTTTACTCAAACACTCCAGAGGGGCTTTCTCGGGCTTACCTTCAATTGAGGCCGTGCTGCCAGCAGCGGCATGGGTAAGCAATTGCAGGGCTGCACATTTACCTATATAAAGCAACTTACAAATTTCGTGCAAAACAAATTCTTTCACGTATCTGTCTCTCCCACAAAGGTTGTTGGGAAAGGATTAAAGTTGTGGCATTAGCATGTAGGTCACAATGGTGCCAACATTTCCATGCAGTCAGCTGTGCAAATATTAGCCGAGCAAGCCTTAGGTCCGGGTTCTTTGGAGCATTTCAGAGTGGACATATCAAAGACCTTTAATGTGCTGCACAAAAATAATAAGAATAACACTGCAGGTATTCCAAAAAACAGCAAAATATATTTAAAAATTTTCGTGCGTTCGTCTCTTTATTATTACTATTGTTATTCCTAATATTTTTGGTTCGCTTTTCCTTTTCATCAGATTGCTGCCGCTAACCCGCGGTTGGGCTGAAGACCGGCGAGGCTTGCGCGGAACACAACGAAAACCGGCGAGAAAGAAGGAATTCCTGTCTCCGTTGCTTAATTTTATTTTTTCTTTAAGCGGGGTTCGTTTCAACTTGCGAAGTTAAAAGGTTCGAATAAAAATGCCTCCGCCAGTGAGTGCCACGGAGGGATACACGCCCCCTGATGGTGGCTGGGGTTGGGCAGTGGTCGTCGGGGCCTTCATCTCCATCGGCTTCTCCTACGCCTTCCCCAAAGCCATCACCGTGTTCTTCAAGGACATCCAGGAGATCTTCCACACCACCTACAGCGAGATCGCATGGATCTCCTCCATTATGCTGGCCGTCATGTACGCCGGAGGTGCGTGCGCTCTCATGCAATTTGTAATTTATTTTATGTTTTTAAACAGTTTGAAACGACTTTTTTATGTTACCAGGTAAGGCCCACTGAGCTATTTAGCTCTATTTTTTCAGACGCGACCTGGCCACAAATGATAGCCCAACGAAGTGGCTTTTCACGTGGAAATTTATAAGCAGCCAAATACTCGAAACGTACGTTTTTTCGAAATGTGGAGGGAAAAACCAGAGGGCCTGGAGAAAAATCCACGTGACCACCGGTGGAGAGAAACGCAAACTCCAAATTTACAGGTGTCAGGATTGGGATCGAACCCAAGACCTCCTGTATACCAGGCAAGGCAGTTGATGGTGTCAGGGTGGGGGAGGGGCAAGGTAGTTGATAAACGATGATCGTGAATATAAAATCGTGTTGCTATTGGGGGACTTAGCAATGAAAATCGGGCAAATTGATCAAGAGTTCCTCTTCTAACCTACCCGTCCTTTCAGTTTCGAATGAAGAGACGTTGGCTTTATAAATAAACGCAACCTCCCTCTCCATGTTTTCCAAAGTGGCGTTGAATCACGGCCTAATCTCGTTCTCTGCGTACGGGGGCTGCGGTTCTATTTCAGATCGGAGCAAACCGAGAACGGCATGGTCATTAACACAGCCATCAGGGTCACCCTTAGACCACCTACAAGGGCAATGCATGCGAGGCAGCCTTGTGATGCCTACACTCATGGAAAGTATGCCGGACTAAGAATGTGCGACAGAAGCCAACTCATTAGTTTGCTGTAAGCCATTTACGAACTTCCCTTTGCATGCACGAGTTAAAATGAAAGTGAAAGTTAATTCGTTCGTTCTTGCCACCGAGTGCTAACGCAGCAAAGCCACTCGCGCAACGTTACAAACTTAAACGTCTCGGAACAAAAAAACAGAGTCCTCTGTGGCCTAAATTCAAACGCCCGGGTTGTGATGTGAACTGAATGAACTGTGGTCAAAACAACCAGTGCGGCATGCGGTCAAGTGGTTGAACAATGTTGGGCGACTTCGAGAAAACCGGAACGCTTCACAATTAATGCCAGACACCAATGGGTTTAATTATTTTTTAAGGACACCATTTTTACGCGCTACAGAGCCAGCCTGTGCTTTGCCTACACTCGTGCGCAATGCCTGCACGATAACGAGAGCGAGGCAACGCCCGGCCACCACCTGTGGAAAATAAAGAGCTTCGTAGCTTATCGGATTCCTCCAGTATAAATAAAGATTTCCGATTCCGAGTAACTCTGAACCAACGCGTGGGGCCAATGTGACATGAACTCGGCAACTTAAATGCGCTTCTCTCTCCCCTATCGGTAGGGGTTTTTTTTTTGTAAGTGATATTTTGTACGAATTTTGAGCGAGCGTCGCGATGACGGAACGCTCGCTGTCTGAAGAAGCTGACGTTTTTGCTGAGAGCCGGTCGACGTTAGGCTGACTATCGTTCACTGCTCCGGAATAAAAGGCATACGTGTTGAAACGTGAGTAGTTCTCCTGCTCCTCAAGTGAGTGGTCTAGATGGGAGCCAGGAAGACATTGATCTTATCCCATGACATGTTGCTTGCAGGGGTGACTACACATGTGTATAGTTGCTTATACGCATACCCTTCTCCATTAATAATTGTTTAACTGTAAGTGTAGTACAATTTATAAATTAATATAACATCTGAAGTGATATTCAAATTGTGTACGTTGTATGTAATGGGTTCACAATGCCTATGCAAGTCACTTAGAGATGCTTAACTGCGGAAATATCTTCCATAGCGATTCAATCTTTTAGGGAAATATAAACATGGCCTATCCAATGACAACACAACACGATGGCATATTACTATACATAGAGCCTTGGGATTTCCTGGATGTCGAAAGCAAGCACTGTGATGCCATCTTTCAAGTATGAACACATTATTTGGTGGTGATGCTGTTGCTGCGTTGGCAATGGTGCACAAGGAACAACAACAACTCCACACATTTGTCAATAACAGTGGCGTTTAAAGGGAAAATATATAAAAGGTGATGTTTCTGGCAATTGCCCTTCTTCATGGCATACAAATACAGGGGTCGGAGAGAGACAGAGTGGATCACAAGAGTTTGGGAGATTGTACAACACATTATCAGGGTCTCCTGAGGGCAGTGACATAAATCATTCTTACACATCAACTTCGAGACAATGGTTCAAGACCTCTCAAACGCTTGTCCTCCTCTGGCTTTTACCTATTTACATTAAAGTCAAACATTGCCGCATTTAGCCAATCTGTGGCAGGATTTAGTTCTGTATTTGCAACCCATTATAGGCCTCGGAGCATGCAAAATAAGAAGAGGTTTTACCATTTCTGGCAATAAAACAGTTGTGTTAAGATGTTCAAACACCAAATATAAACCCTTTTGCAAGGAATCAAGTCTGCATTAACCACACAGCACTTGTGGTGAACATGAAAACAAACATGCTCTGATTATAATATATGGCATTGTCTTTAAAACTCACTGGCCTACACCAGAGACAGCCTTCTTTATGGCCTAAGAGGCATTCCAACTACAACTGCGGCGGTGGTGGGCAACCAGTTTCCATGATCGGTTTAACACGTAGTCTTTCACGACGAATATTATGCATAATAAAGTTTTTTTTTTGGGTTAGATGGCATAAATATAAATGTGTTGTTAAACCCGCCACCACCTGACACAGCCAATTAGTAAGGTATGTGACGTAAACAAAACGTGCCAATTAGTTACAATTAGAATACGACGTTTCGCTGGTGATTGCAACCAGCTTCATCAGGCGATTAACCGTAATTGTGAAGAAGTCATCAATTTTTTTTTTGGACTTCAATAGAGCTGAGGTTATGCCATCACGGTGAGCCTGTTGGTTGCGACGACCAGAATGGGGGTTAAATGTTGTGGGTTTACTCTCCAGCACACCGGTGTGTTGAAGTAGCCACTAATTGGCACGTTTTGTTTACGTGACAAACCTTACTGGTTGGCCGTGTCGGTGTCGGGTGGTGGTGGGTTTAACGACGCATTTATCTAACCCAAAACAAAAACAACGTTATTGTGGAGTTTACATGATGAATGTGACCTGTTGCAAGGCCCCAATGGCACCTTGACATTTTCATTTGAATGACTGCTTCAACAAACAGCTGATCACAAACATCTCTAAAACTTGCGAAGCACAATGAAATTAACAATAATTAACTTTAGTGTTAAGTTGCTACAAATTTTATTGAATATGGAGCAGGTGATTTATTTTATTTTGTATTTTATTTTATACCTATGTGACTTTACCGAAAGAACCAAAGAGTATGGAGCAGGTGGTGAATATGCTTGGCACCGACTCTTAACTAATAATTGCGAGCTATTTTTAAACCACTCACAAAAATCCTTCACGGGCCAAGTCGATCCCTTTTGGTGCGAGCTTATTTGTAGTCTTTAAAACGTTTGAACTTTAGTTTTGAAAACTTCTTACGGTCGAGCGGACCAATTTACGTGTCAATGCCGCAATTTACAGCGCGATTTTGTGCAGCGGATTAACGCCCGGAATCCGCATTCCTTTCAAGTTTGAAGTCGTGGAATGGGTTTTCACTCGACACACAATTCAAATGTAGAATGTGTCGCCTTATTATCCTGACATGGTGAGATAGCTCTGAGCTGCGTGCATGGAAGTTCCGCGGAATACTGAACCCCGTGACATTGTAACAGCTCACACTGCAAGCCTTCCCTCAACGCTAAGTTAACCTTTCGCGTGTCACAGTCAATCTGCAGGAGAGGCATGCCTTTTGACGTGAATATAAATTGCCTTCCTGCATGAAGGGCCATTGGTTCCAAAAAATGCGTGGCGGTGTAATGTCTTTGTACGGCGTACGATCTATTGGGGGTTTGCGCACAGATCACGTATCCGCATATCCGACCATCACATGTCCGCCCTGCCCAATTAACCGCCCGCGCCCAGTGCATCATTCACGTATGGCGCGACTTGTAATTTTTCTTATTTATAAATTGTTCACAAATGTGACCTTTCCCCTGTACAATAATTTATTCGTAATCTTGTGTACGTTTACTTCTAAAGTAGAGTAAATCATTCTCCCATGATTAAAACACCTTATTGCCCTTTATTTGTGTTCAGCAACCTATTCGTGTCTGGTGTCACTGTCATTTTCGATCAGTGTTCACCTTTTGACAAATCCGCCTATATCTCAGTTCCCAGCGAGTCGGATATGTGACTATTGTACTCTACTATATAAAACAGAGGTAGCGGTGGTGCGTTGGTTAGCGCACTGAGCTCTGAACCCGGTGACCCGAGGTGTTAACTACCTCGCCTGATTTAAAGGAGGCCGCGGGTTCGATCCTGACCCTGACGCCTGTATATTTGGAGTTTGCACGTTCTCCCCGTGGCCGCGTGGATTTTTCTCCGGGTCCTTCGGTTTTTCTCGCCACGCTTTGAATCAAACATGTGTTTAGATGTATTTGGCTGCTATAAATATCCACGTGATAATCCACTTAAATTTTGATTTAAAGCTTTCGTGACTGCAGTAATTCATATTCTTAGCTCTTTCGGTAAAGTCACGTTGAAGGGAAACAATAAATTAATAAAATATATATAAAAAAACAATAAAAAATTCTCACGACGTTTCGACCATAACACAAACGGTCATCATCAGGTGTTGTTTTGATGATGACCGTTTGTGTTATGGTCGAAACGTGAGTATTTTTATTGTTTTTTTAATATATATTTTATTATTTTATTGCTTCCCTTCAACGTGACTTTACCGAAAGAGCTAAGAATATGATAATCCACTTCTTTGAGCTATTATTTGTGGCCAGGCTGCTTCTGAAAAAATAGATATATAGCCTTGTGGGCCTTACCTGGTAAAATAAAAATAGAATGGAAATAAAATAATAATATGATTATAAATAGTTGAGTTAGTTTATTTATTATAAAAAATAATATTATTTTATTTCCAGTCTACGTGGTGACTTTACCGAAAGAACCAAGAAGATGAATCTCTGCAGTCACGAAAGCTTTAAATCGAAAAATAAAAATAGTTGAGTTAGTTTAGTGGTTGAGGTGTCAGTTACAAAGTATTTTGAATCAAATTCTTCTCATGTGGAATGAGGTAACCACATCTACTCTGTATAATATTGAAACCAAATCGTACTGTAATCCTGTATATTCCCTACTTGTAATGCCGTTTCTCAATATTCGTTTAATCTGTGTTGATCGGAATATATTCTCAACATTACTACCTGGAACTAACACTCACTATCCATAGAGAATTGTGTTTTGCATCTCTTGCCAATGAGTTAAATGTGCATTAATTATAAAAATGGTAATTTTAATGAAGTGACACATTTCAACGTTTAATAAACACGCGCCCATTATGTTTACTGATTTGGCCACTTGGATATGCTCACTTCCAAGGTTTGTTTATTCTAACAACGTCTCCGCTAGCGGCTAACACGAATGCTTGTCTTGCCAATCGCTTGGCTCACGTTGTGAGGCTGAATGTCAGAGCTTTGGCGCATCAACGTACGCAGATGGCAGTGGAAAATGAAACGCAAAACGAGGAAGACAAAATCGTGCATTCACATCAGTTCTGTCTGATGCTTTCCAACAAGCCGTATGTCCTTGGATGCGTGGCAACGTTTTGTTTTACATTAATTAATGGTTTCCGACCTGCGACGTCGTGGATAAAAAGCGTGGAGGCTCGCGGAGAAAATGTAAAGTGTTGCAAAGTATCGAGCGTGTGGTCAAAACTGAAACGTGCGCAAAAAGCACACGGAGAGATTGCTGCACGCTTGGAGCAGCATCGTTGATCCATAAGAGCAGCAAGCGGGCTTGGGCCGGTGGGCAAAACTAATGATGGGGGATGGCAGCCAAGGGAAGGAGGTGCACCAGACAAGATCCGATCGTGTCCGTCCGGTGCTCGCTGAGCTGCATTGGCTTCCGGTTCCCGAAAGAATGGCGTTTGGAAGGTCGCACCCGTTACGCCCAAAGTGCTCGCCATAAAAGTGTAAGCAATTGCACAAAACCCCGGTTATTCTCACCGCCATTGTGCGGGCGCTTTCAGACGCACTTTTTGCTCCGCGTGGCCACGTTCATTTGTGAACCCTTTCGGCGACCTCGGTCGTGCATGCATAAAAAATATTTTTTTTCTGTTTTCAGGTCCCATCAGCAGCATCCTCGTGAATAAATACGGAAGCCGTCCCATAGTGATTGCCGGCGGAATCCTCGCTGGAACCGGAATGATAGCGGCGTCATTCTGCAATACCATTTTCCAGCTCTACTTCTGCATTGGCGTCATTGGAGGTATGGTCTGGGACTGATTTTTCCGTAATTTTTCATGGGCTGCCCTAAGGCAAGTGCTTGAGTAGTATGCACAATTCAGCACGGGTTTAGTTCAAGCACGTTTTGTTTTAATCTCATCAAGGGCTCCTCAGCCGATAAGTTTCACGTGAATTATCCATAATATGTGCGATTGATCGTTGCGGAGGAGGTTATGTGACCGTCACACTTGGTGCAGCGGTTAGCGCGCCGAGCTACGAACCCAGAAACCCAAATTCGATTCCAGCTCACAGCCAACACCAGTGACGACTATCTGAACCTGGGCTGCCGCAAGGTTGATTCAGCCTTAAACGATGCGCTGTGTAAACATCCGCACCTCCGATTAGCATGGTTGGATATGTGCGGTGCGAAAGAAGTTCAACACACATGCATACATAGACCTGCGCTGCGAGGTTTTGTCGTGTTAAGCGGTGATAATTATATTCTTGGTTCTTTCGGTAAAGTCACCACGTAGAAGGGAAACAATGAAATAATAAAAATACAAAACAATACAATTCTCACGACGTTTCGACTGCAACACAAGCAATCATCGTCAGGTGTGAAAACCACAGCAATCAAATATGAAAAAAGTGGCGTTTTTTTCTTAACGTTAGTACCACGGACAGCGATTTTGGCAGTTGTTCAGATGGACGAGTCCATCTATGTTCGGAAAAGAGGAGGGGGGAGAAGAAGAGAATGGAATGCGATCTGAAAGTCACCGTAAGCGTGAACACAATCAATTAAGACCCGAAATGGTTTATCACAACCTTCCAATTATTGCTAAGCCAGAATCCATCTTCTCGGTTGAAATTGGTCATTATGATTTGACACGCCCTTGAGCAGATCTGGGGTAAGACCGTGCAGGTGTGTACACTCATCATTGTTCATAACGAACCACATCAAGTTCCTCTTTCGTTGGAGGCGCCCACCTCCAGGTTATATTTCTGTAACATTAATGTTCTTAAATGGACATAGCCACTGAGGCCCTACATAAAATGTAATTATAGCTGAAGAGCCTCATGACTGATGGGCGGCTTTATTTTTTATACAACGGTTTGCTTTATAAATACTTAGATATTCCAGTAATAATTACGCATATTTTTGCCAATCCACTGCTATGTCTTTTGCAATCTGTAAATTCTGTACCAAAGAATACATTGCCCAAGACTGGTGGCCAAACCTTAGGGTGTGATTGTGGAGGTTGTGTAGGTCTTATAGGGCGTCTGTTTTGGTGAGGCCAAGGTCAGACGAACCCGTTTGTGTCCATTGTGAGGCCCTTATGACAAATCGAATTTTGTTTTGACGCTCCTGTGCATATGTAACAAAAATATATATATAATAATCGGTTAATAGTTTTCATATGAATTGAATTGTGAGACTATACTGCGTGCAGTTAAAAGCACTCCAGAATTTAAACAGCTGCCCTGGAGGCATGTACGATCGTGGCATTGCTGGATAAATTAATTGTGAAACATACAGCCAGAGGACTGCTACCAGCAGTTAATGTAGCTGCTGCTGCCAGCAGTTATATTAACTGGAACGCCATTCATTAATCAACATCCAATTGTTTTTTCTGCTCCGTCTATGTTTGTGCTCCGCGCACAGTGCGGAGTTTGTTTTCCGAGCTTCGGCTTCAACGGCGAGAGCCGCATGCTGAATATCCATCGGCTGACTTTTTTGAAGGCAGATGTTTAGCGATGTATTAATCAGCCTCAGCACGGCCCACCCGCCATGCAGTGAGCCCATTAACCCGTGGAACCTTTGTTGGTCTCGCGAACACAGAGGATCGGCGCGATCAGCACAATCTCGTCGCTTTCTTTGCCATTTTATATCTCCTCGTTCGGATGTGTACGACTTCGCCGCTCGACTCCACCGCAATCCCTCAGGCGTGCCCTCGTGCAAATTTGCCACATCCTTGATTTATTCGTGTTAACGGAATGGGATTATGTTTTTTGCAAGTCTACGTTAATGGAATCATATTTCCATTCGGCAAAGTGTTATTAGTTTAATTACCTAGAGCAGGCTCCAGCATTCCTAGGGTTTCAGAATTACACTCATTTTGTATTGCATGCTGCGTAATTTTGTTGTTGTTGCCTTGTTATAGTTCTTACGTTATTCTTTCGTCATAAATGATCTGACGATAAATTAGACAGCCTTACAATTTTTTTCCAAAATTTTGTTTTTTTTTTCAAACAATATCCCCTTTTTAGTTTTGCGTGATTTTTTTGCATCAATTGTATTATTTCGTGGAGAAAAATATGTAAAATGTCATTGCTATCATCGCTATTATGTACACCTCTTCCAAATCAAGCGTGGCAAAGTAGGACCAAATACCCTCCAGAGGGGCGCGCTCTCTCTAGAGCACCCCTCTGGTGTAGGTACCTTCAACCAGCAGTGGCGGTGAGCGAGCAGTTGCAGGGCTGCATCTTTATCTTTTCTTCTATTAATCGTGGTAGTGCATGTACCGCAGGGATGAATGTGTTTCGTACAAATACCGAGAGGCAATTCATATCTTCGTGGTGAATTTTGTTTGTCCTTTAAGATATTCTCACGAATCCCATGAGACTGGGAAAAAAAAAAACGGGAAATAGTTTGGACGTGATAGCAATTGCCATACCAACGAGTATATAACTTGTTAAGTTAATCACACCCACTGAAGAAGTAAATTCGTCTTTGAGCAAGTTCATTTGAGTTCAAAATTGTGTTTACCGTGAGATTAGGCCATACAGAATGACTGGCGCAGCGCACGTACGTGTGTATCAAATAATATTTCCCGCTTCTCTCCTCGGTGGATCACCGGGTATTGTGGGTATGCCGAAGGGCATCTATTCATATTGCATGTTACAACCTACGTAAGCGGCGAGTAATGATGTTCAATATCGTTCAGCGGCACATTGTGTACTCGAGCAATCATTGGGAAAGCCGTAATTCATGGTGATGTTGAGATTGGAGTTTCATGAATTACAACAACAACAACAAAAACCACCACCCCCGGACAGACCTGTGTAGATTTGTCGCCTTGATCACACCTGTACCACGAACCCGTTCCCACGAGGCCAAGCTGGGTGGGGGGAGGTGCCGTTACATTACCGCCTGCTCTCTGCATTTTCAATTTTCGTTTAAAATGCAAACATGTGATAATACTGCACCCCCCCCCAGCTTAAAATGGAGCACCAGACTGTTTGTTTTTGCCATTCATTGTTGACCGTAACCCACGTGGATGGGGATGAGGTCACGGTTCTAAGCCACGTGAAAGGGACGGTAAGGCTTGCTTTAGCGAGGTGGAATCCGACAGTCACCCCCTCCCCCCCTATTCAATGTATTCCATTAACGAATCTGTGTTTGATTACAACTCGGCGTGGGAGTCAAGGTGGGTGCCGATCTGTGATTGGTGGCGCGTGGCAGTTTTTTTATCAGACAGAACCAGCGGAACATTTGCCTGTACTTAAATGGACATTCAGCTGCATATTGTAATGCACACTTATCGAGAGGCAATGCAAGATAATTACATTCGAGCTTTGCAACCTTTACTACAGCAGACTCTTTATCTTATAATGAACCACATTCATCGCATTCAACAACAATCTAATGTTAGGACTGTTGAGCAATTTGCCACCATCATTTCAAAACATGTCGTATGAAGCTCTGCTATTTGTTTTGTCCACAAAGATGTAGAGAGTCACAATTTGGTCGACATGCGCGTGATCGGTTGCAAGGTTATGTCAGTGGTTGAAATTGGCCATGTGATTTCGTCTAATGCCATGGTGCAACACAATTCGCTTGTATACAGAGGAGTACCAAGATGCAAGGGGGATTTGCAGAAGCTGTGATGGCAGAGTAGTGAAGCAAGCCATTGCTGTACGGGAGTAAAGAATCGAAGAAGCACACGGACACGAAATTGTGTCCAACAAAATACATTTCATAAGAAAGTTTTCTTTTTTCTTTTCGGTTAGATCACGTAAATATAAATGTGTTAATTCCACCACCACCCAACACACCAGTTGTAAACGTTGTGGGTTTGCTATGCAACACACCGGTGTGCTGAAGTAGTAACTTATTGGCACGTTTTGTTTACGTGACAACCCCTAACTAATTTGCTGTGTCGGGTGGTGGCGGTGTTTAACGACACATCTATATTTTGCGTGCTCTAGCTAAAAAAAAAACATCTTTATTACTCATAATAATGGTGACATGTTAAAAATACATTTCACGAAAAAGAGGCATTTTTTTAAATTCTTTACTTTAACTGATGCCGCTTTGGTGCACTGAACTTGCAATCCCTGGAGGCTCACCGGTTCTGTCTCCCTGCACGGCAGTTAAAAAAAAAACAACCGGCAAAGATTTTCGACATCTCGCCACCACCGCCACCTCTGTCTCTGCCCACCCGGCAGTATAAAAGGGTGCACCCACAGTGAGTCGATCTGCGGGAGGTTGCAGGTTGTGGCGTGGTAAGAGTGTGTGCCCTGGGAAAAACAACCTACTCGGCACCTGGGGGAAACACTCAAAACTGTGCAGTTTACAGGCTCGTGACCTACTTTTCTGTTCTGCCCAATTCGGGCGTCTCATAACTCTACACGGTGGGTGCGTCATGCAGGCACATGTTCTCAACAATGGCCCACTAAACCCTTGTCTCCAAAGCACAGGATTACAGGCGCGTGTGTGCCAACACACTTGGCATATCCGCAGAGTAATCGGAGAGAGTCCATGACCCACATTTCCATCGGAGTGGCGCTCCAACTCCTTTTTTTTGGCAAGCCGCTGACTTTTGGACCACCCCTCGTAACGATGATAACGGTCTTTACGATGATAATGGTCAATTGGAGATTGCAGTGATGTTTAAAGTTCCAAGTGACCGCTGCATTGCTTGTTCATCGCTGTTGCTGAACTTTGAGGATGCTCAAAGTGCAGAGATATTGCAGCAATCTATGGATTGGACAGTGAGGGAAAAAAAGTATTTGATCACCTGCTGATTTTGTACGTTTGCC